TATGTTTTACAACAATAAAGTTGCAAAGGTCTTGAGAGAGATTTGTGTTTTTTGTGTGACACCTTGGTAATGAGACACCTTTTTATAGGCCATCAGTTGAAACTGAACCAGCTGATATTAATTTGCACTGAAAGAGGCAGGATTGCTTTCTAATTACTGATAGATTTCAGCTGATGTCTTGGCTTTCCAAGCCTTTTTTCACCTCCCTTTCTTCATGTGTTCAATTCTTTTTTCCTGTGTCATTCCATCTTTTTACACATAACTTAAATTTCTGAACCTATTTGCTTTGGTTTCTTCATATAGATGGATTGCATGTGTTGTTACTGACGAATAGTGAAAATGTAATGTCAATAGCACCTTTAGAAATATATTTACTGAAAAAAATGGTGATGTGTTCAATACTTATTTTACCCAATATATATATATATATATTCTGCTCAAAAAAATTAAAGGAACACTTTGAAAACACATCAGATCTCAATGGGGAAAAATATCATGCTGGATATCTACACTGATATGGACTGGGTAATGTGTTAGGAACGTAAGGATGCGCCATCATTTGATGGAAATGAAAATTATCAACCTACAGAGGAAATTTGATTGCAGCAACTCAAAAATGATGCTCAGTAGATTGTATGGCCCCCATGTGCTTGTATGCATGCCTGACAATGTCGAGGCATGCTCCTAATGAGACGACGGATGGTGTCCCGGAGTATATCCTCCCAGATCTGGACCAGGGCATCACTGAGCTCCTGGACAGTCTGTGGGGCAACCTGGCGACATTGGATGGACAAAAACATGATATCCCAGAGGTATTCTATTGGATTTAGGTCAGGCGAGCGTGGGGGCCATTCAATAGTATTAATTCCTTTGTCCTCCAGGAACTGCCTGCATACTCTCGCCACATGAGGCCAGGCATTGTCATGCACCAGGAGGAATCCAGGACCCACTGCACCAGCGTAGGGTCTGACAATGGGTCCAAGGATTTCATCATGATACCTAATGACTGTCAGGGTGCCATTGTCTAGCCTGTAGAGGTCTGTGCGTCCCTCCATGGATATGCCTCCCCAGACCATCACTGACCCACCACCAAAACGGTCATGCTGAACGATGTTACACAACAGGCAACATAGCATTCTCCACGGCTTCTCCAGACCCTTTCATATCTGTCGCAATGCCAATCAAGCTCTATGGTGCTGGGCAGTATTGCCTCATGCGACCATAGTGACACTGACCCTAGCCAAATGCAAAACTAGTGAAAAACAGTCAGAAAAGATAAGTAGGGAAAAAAATATCCGTGGCCTCCACCTGTAAAATCATTCCTGTTTTGGGGTCATCTCATTGTTGCCCATCTAGTGCACCTGTTGTTAATTGTATTAACACCAAAGCAGCTGAAACTGATTAACAACCCCCTCTGCTACTTAGCTGACCAGATGAATATCCCAGGAGTTTAATTGACTTGATGCTATACTCTGATTAAAAAGTGTTTCTTTAATTTTTATGAGCAGTATATATATATATATATATATACTGTATATATATATATTTATTTTTTTTTTTATTATTATTATTATTATTATTTATTTATTTATTCTTGGTGATCCCAGGTCTTAGACTTTGTGGCTATCTGACTATATATTGGTACCACTTCCTTAGTGTGGGTTTTCGTGTACTGCAAAGCCACTAATTTGCATCTTAACCATTTTCTATTCAAGGAAAGTAGGTAAAATGTTAATTGTTCATCAAGTCATCATTTTAAACTGGAACTAAACTCTCCCGATCAACATTAACTACAACTATATACTAACTTGTAATCCCTATGCTGCTAGCTTTAGTAAATAGGAACCTATATATTTTATTGCTTTAAACTTTTTTTTTATACATTTATCGAGTTACTTCTTTCTTACGCCTAAATGATGTCATACATCCCAGGAGTCTTCATGGACATTTTTTCTTTCATCTGGAGGAGAGCTTTTCTCAGCTAAGCACACCCTCCTGCCGGCATGCCTGAGCTAAGGGCAGATGGATTTCAGGAAGTAAATGCTGCATGCATTATCTGCCCTTACTCAAGATGGCTGCAGCTATAAATGTGCTGTGGTGGTGGTGGTGGTGGTGGTGGTGGTGGGGGGGGGGGGGGTTCAAAGTGATTTTCTCAACAAAAAGAAACATGGAGACATGGATGGATGGGGGAGTTTGCTTTGAATACTGAAAATTATTTAAATGGCATTTTTAGTTTGTGGTGATCAGGTATAGTTGAGTTTGGCTTTAACCCTCCAGACTTACAGGTGAAACTCGAAAAATTAGAATATCATGCAAAAGTTAATTTATTTCAGTAATGCAACTTAAAAGGTAAAACTAATATATGCGATAGACTCATTACATGCAAAGCAAGATAGTTCAAGCCGTGATTTGTCATAATTGTGATGATTATGGCTTACAGCTCATGAAAACCCCAAATCCACGATCTCAGAAAATGAGAATCCTCTCCAGGCTGCGGTCATCCCTGCTGCTTGTGCACCTTTTTCTTCCACACTTTTCCCTTCCACATAACTTTCTATTAATGTGCTTTGATACAGCACTTTGGGAACATCCAACTTCTTTTGCAATTACCTTTTGAGGCTTTCCCTCCTTATGGAGGGTGTCAATGATGGTTTTCTGCACAACTGTCAGGTCAGCAGTCTTTCCCATGATTGTGATTCCTACTGAACCAGACTGAGAGACCATTTAAAGGCTCAGGAACCCTTTGCAGGTGTTATGGCTTAATTAGCTGATTAGAGTGGGACACTTTGAGCCGAGAATATCGCACCTTTTCACAATATTCTCATTTTCTGAGATCGTGGATTTGAGGTTTTCATGAGCTGTAAGCCATAATCATCACAATTATGACAAATCACGGCTTGAACTATCTTGCTTTGCATGTAATGAGTTTATCTCATATATTAGTTTCACTTTCTAAATCCATTACTGAAATAAATGAACTTTTGCATGATATTCTAAGTTTCGAGTTTCACCTGTATATTGGTCTTCAGTGGTTCTTTAATTGTTCCTGGAAATCCCCTTAAAACTACAGTTTATATGCAACTTAGTTTTTTAAATATTCTCTGGCCGGCAGTTGAACATGAGCAAGAAAAGTATGCAATTCACCGTTTTAAAAACCGCCTAACTTTATAAAAAAATCATCACTTTAAACACGCTGATTAATTTTAATGAGTGAAATCCTTCTACCTTTCACATTTCCATCTTTCTTGGGTCAGCTCTTGAAAATTCCACTCAATGGCTTCTCTCTCTAACATCTCATTCATTTCAGCTCTTTCAGTCCTGACTTATTAATCTCTCTCTTAATGTTCCTTAATCACTGTCCTTGCCCTCCACTGCCACCCTGTTTTTGGCTTCACTCAATGCAGCGCTCAGTTTCTTTGGGCAGATATTATATAGTTTCATAGTTCATCTATTATTTAACTTTTTGCTTGATAAAACTGTAATTAAAATGTAATTATTAGGTTGTAGCTGATTACATTTTTAATATAATTTAAACCTAGCTGGATTCTTTTTTTTTCATAAAATGTTGTTTTCAATTGTTTATTTTCCTATGGAACAGCTTCTTTTAGTCACTCCCTGTCTGCATGCACTCGCTCTATCATCAGTAGCAACTAATCATTGCTCTAGATCACAAACTTTTTAGTGTGGCGCTACTAAATAGTGCTATAAAACACCTTCCTCCCTTATATGTGCATCACTTACATACTATGTGTGCTTCCTCCTCAAATAAATCCAATAATGTGATATTTAGGAATTTCCAACTAATATATGATGTACTACAATACACCTCCCTCCACAGAAACATGAGTATGCTCTGGATTTATACAACAGTGATTATTCAAGGAGGTAGTAGAGAGGAGACGTTGCTGAAAGTGGCAGCATAGGAGTCAATCACTGGTGGAGAGGAGGTAAAAGAGATTTGGGGATACAAGAGGTTCAATAAGAGGAGGTGCGGAGAAATTGAAGGTGGAAGTTATACCAAGTGCATATGACCCGCCTGTAAAAAGGAAGTGTACATTTTTGGTGAGTGCGGACCCAACGAGAAGGGGGGGCATGAAGGAACACAGCACTGTATTGAATTCAAAAGCACGTTAAAGTGGACTGCACAAAAGCGCTTTGTTGGGGGAATTGCATATTGTGGATGTCACAAATGTTTGTCATTGCATCGACTCTGCACAGGAACACATTAGTGTTTCAGTGGGGGTGGTGTCTTGTAGTACGTTGTACACAGCTTGCACTATCAGAGCACTTTTTTGGATATTTTTGGATATTGTTTTTTGAGGATGACACGAATAATTACTGTTGTATAAATCCACACTGGAACATATTCATGTTTCTGTGGAAGGAGGTGTATTGTATGTAGTACATCATATATAAGTTGGAAATTCCTAAATATCACATTATTGGATTTATTTGAGGAGGAAGCAGCCATATTATGTGAGTGATGCGCATATAAGGGAGGAAGGTGTTTTATAGCACTATTTAGTAGCGCCACACTAAAAAGTTTGTAATTTTGTTATCTTTATCCATTTGAGGGTATATGAGGAGTTGTAGGCAGCTACACTGCTGTAATTATCAGTCCATAAGAGAGGATAATAAACCAGTATTGCTCTAGATCGCCACTGACGGTAGACCACACAAAGGGGGTTATTTACTAAAACTGCATGGTGCAAAATCTGGTGCAGCTCTGCATAGAAACCAATCAGATTCCAGACTGTATTGTGAAAGCTTAAAGCTGAAGTCAGAACCTGATTGGCTATCACCAGATTCCGAGTGCTCCAGTTTTAGTAAATCAACCCCACATTTCTGAACATATATAGTCTTTACCAGGTGTGCATGGGACAACTGGGAAGACCTTCATGGCAGGATCACCAAATATTATTGAAATGAAAGCTTCAGATTTGAAAAACATTTTAAAACATTGAGCATTATTTTAAGATGTTGTATGAAATTTTAATGAATTGGTTTGCATCTGCTTTAAAGTGGTATTAAACCCAAAATCAAAAAAATATAACAATAATATACATATGTACTTTATAATATATATACCAATCAGGGGCGGACTGACCATTTGAAAACCCGGGCACTGCCCGAGGGCCCGGGGTCAGTAGGGGGCCCCATGAGATGCCCCTGGTACCTTTTTCATAGGCTTTTTGAGTTTAGGCAAGGACACAGGGGCCCCATGATCCCCTATTGCCCAGGTGCCCCATGAGTTGTCAGTCCACCCCTGATACCAATCATTAGATGTGGTGGCTGAATCAGTTTTTCTCTTTTAGGCTTTTTCTCTCTGTTTTCAACTGATGATCTGGCCACTAGGACTGACCATACATTAAGCTCCGGAAGGTTTTACCCCCTTCATGTCCTGGCAATTTTTTTCTATTCGGTACTGCACTACTTTAACTGGTAATTGCACGGTCATGCAACGATGTACCCGAATGAAAAGTATATAATTTTTTTCACACAAATAGATCTTTCTCTTGGTGGTATTTGATCACTTCTGGGTTATTTTTTATATATATATATATATATATATATATATATATATATATATATATATATATCAATGGAAATAAATAAACAATATTTTTTACTTTCTGTTATAAAACATATCAAATAAAAACCAAATGTATTTATACATTTAGGCTGAAATGTATTCTGCTACATGCCTTTGGTAGAAAAAACATTGACACTGACATTTCCAGTGACACTAATACAGTGATCAGTGCTAATAATATATACTGTGACTGTACCAATGATAATGGCTGGGAAGGGGTTAACTTTTAAGAGCAATCAAAGGGGTTAACTGTGTGCCTACCAATGTTTACTGTGTGTGCTGTGTGTTGTTTTATGAAGCAATGTGCCGGTTTTTACTCCCTGTTTTGCAGGGAGGAAAAAAAACGGCATATCATTGCTTTATGTAGAGAGCCCTGTTTTGTTTACACAGGGCTCTCTTCTGTCATTCAGTCAGTCGATCAGTAGGTTCCAGCCATAAATCATTGGCCGGGACCCACTGATAGTCATGTACTTTAACGAATGACAGCCAGGGTGGCGGACGCACACCCCCTACCCAGAAGAGCCGGATCACATACCTGCATGTGAACTGGTGCAGTAGGGCCATTCTGCCACAGTAGTGGGCAGTCGACAAATGCTTGGGCAATTTTCTTTTCTTTACCCATGGGTTGAAGGAAAGAAAATTGCTCGATTCTTTTATCAACGCTTTCAGCATTGATCGGGGAATCCCTCCCTTTGTGCTATTGTATTCTGACAGCGGGAGGTTTTCCTGCTGTACAATGATTACTGCTTCTGGCTATGTTGGCGGCAGTAACATAAGTAACTAAAAGCTGATCATTGGAAGCACCCCTGCTAGGGTTAAATGATTTGTCTCATCATGTAACTGATACATTCTGCTGGAGGGCTTGTTCTTTTGAAAAGCATCAGACTTACTGGCTGAATCACCAGATGAAGATAGAAAAAAGAAAGCCTAAAAATGAAAAACAATGAAGCCATCACATCTAAGAATCTGTAGACTGCACTATAATAAATGTTTGCTTTTGGGTTTAATACCACTTGAAAGTGTTACTACACCAAGGACCTTGCATTCACTATATCTGGTCTCCCACAGTACACACAGAACATGGAAATTCAATTATTTTAGTAAATATAAACTGCTAAATTCCTTTTTTCATCAGCAGCCAGAGCAGTCTTGTGACTTCTATCAGTGTCCAAGGCTTGTAGGAGGAGTTTGCATTCTGCTCTGGAAGATGCAGGACCCCTGACCTCTGTTTGAGCAGTGCTGACTGGCCCTGTGCTGACCACATGAACTCTTCCAAAAAAAAAAAAAACCTCTCTAGCAATACACACCAAACTGAGCATGTGCAGAGTGTCTCCACACAATATGTCTTATCAGGAGACAAGAGGGGGGCACTGGAAGAAAGGTAGGGTCAGAGAAGACAGGATCAAACAGCATTTTTACACAATGCAGAGGATTAACCCCTTAGGTTCCACAGTGAGTATAACAAGCATGCTTTACTGCATATACAGGCTGATTTTACTGTTGTGGGTTTAGTAACACTTTAAAGGAACCTGTATTTAGTGAATTTTGGTGGCTTGCATCGTTGACCTTCTTCTAGGAATACCATTTGCCTGGCTCCATTTGACTTCCATATATTCAGAGTCACTGAATTGGAACAAGTACAGAACTAAGAGAAAGGCTTGTTCCAGGTCAGTAAGTGTTAAAATAAAATAAAATTGAGGTGCCGGCCTCAGAATTGTCTTTGTTCACGTTCATCAGGGCTTGGGCTAGGTTGCTAGAGTTCTCATATGGATTTTGGCAAATTCTCCTGAAAAGGGTTCCTGATCTGAAAAACAGGCAAATGTAAAGTGCTTGGTGGCTGTGCGTTGGCTCAGTTGCTATGTAATTGTGTTGAAGATATCCCCAAAATGCACTGGCTTCTGTATTGCTACTAGTTGTCACTACACTGTCAGGAAGAAGATATACGGAAGACTCTACTCTTCTGTTCGGAAATGATTACAGCTACTGGGGAGCTCAGCAATGGATTCCTTCCTATTCTCAAAGTAAGGGCAAGGGTCACTTTACCCTCCCTTTCTTCACATGTGGGGGGCCAAAGGGAAAGCCGCAGAAGTAAGGAAAGGTGAGTATATATATTCTGGGGAGAGGGCAGCTAATTGATCCTTTTCTCTGGGCATACAAAGTATAGGGTCACTTTACATTTCTTTGAGGGTCGGTTAACACTATAGAAAGGCAGTCCAGATGAATTCTGGTGCATTTTTGATGCGTTTTTTATGATTTCCGGTGCGTTTTTGCTGTGCTCTGGTTAATTTTTTCCCTTTTTCTTCAATTCAAGTAGGGACATGTGCATTCCAGTGCATATTTGGTGCATTATGGTACGTTCTAGTGCGTTACGATGCATTTTTGAAGCATTTTGCTGCGTTCCAGTACAGTTCTGTGCAGGAAACATGCAGCCCATTTCTACTTTTTTTTTTTTTTCTGCAACCAGAACGCACCAGAACTGCAAGCACTGATGTGATCTATGACGTTGGCAACATATAACCTACTTTCTGTGCATTTTAGATGCAGAAAAAAAGCAACTGAAATGCATATGGTATGTGTGACCTGGCCCTCAAGGTAAGTATGACATTTTTGCTATTTAAAAAAAATTACATTTACAAAAACTTTAAACTCTTCTTGAAAATAGCAGTTCACTCCCTGTCCCTACAGTCTTATCGCTGTATATTTGCAGTGTGAGATCATCTAACTGTACGGCTCTCTGCTCGTCCCCTCCAGAGCTCACTGGAGCACCGGGCTGTGGAGGGGGCAGGAGCAGCTGGCTCAGGCTCTCAGTGGCGTGCTGAGAGGCTGAGCTAGCTGTTGATCAGACATCTAGGTGGATCCCAACCAGGGGCAGCCTGCTCATTTGGAAACTTGGGCACTGCCCAAGGGCCAGGGGTCAGTAGTGGGCCCCATGAGGTGCCCCTGGTACCTTTTTCATAGGCTTTTTTGAGTTTGGCCAAGGACACAGGGGCCCCATGATCCCCTATTGCCCGGGGGCCCCATGAGTTGTCAGTCCGCCCCTGATCCCAACAAGACATGGGCACAACGAAAAAATGTGTTCAATCATTCTGATCGATTCTTTAAGTTACTAATTTAGTTTAGTTGCATTCATAGTGAAATTTGTTTTGTTTAGTTTTGTTTTCAACCTGATTCAAATTTTTCCAATGCATACGAAGTATTTGAATCAAATTTGAATCAAAAATTTTGATCCAATCCAAATTCATTATTAAGAATAGCTGGTTCTATTCTATTCAAAATTTGAAATTCAAATTTCAGAAGATGGCTATATTATTTCTGTTTTATTCTATTGTAATCTAGCCTGTTTTTTTTTCTATTCTATTATTTTTTATTCTATTGTATTTTACTCTATTCTTTTCTATTCCTTTAGTTTCTATTCTATTTTTTGTTACTCTATTTTATTTTATTCTATACTTTTCGAAATTCACATTTTGGAAGATGACCATGTTCTTTCTATCCTGTTCTATTCTATTGTAACCTATTACACTTTTTCTATTCTAATATATTTTATTCTATTCTTTTATTTTCTATTCTACTTTGTTTTATGCTATTCTTTTCTTTTCTATTCTATTCTATTTTCTTCTATTCTGTTCTTTTCTAAATTCGAATTTCCAAAGACGGCTGTATTCTTTCTTTTTTATTCTATTCTATTCTAAATTTAAAATTAGATTTTCAAAAGCCAGCTATATTATTTCTATACTATTCTGTTCAAAATTCGAATTTTGGAAGATGGCTATATGCTATTATATTCTATTTCTTTCTGTTCTATTCTATTCTTTTATTTTCTATTCTGTTCTATTTTTTTTCGAAAATTAAATTTCAGAAGACAGCTATATTCTAATACACGCAGTCTTTAAAGGAAACCCGCAATAATCAGCAATATAAAAAATAACTAGGCAGCACCATATGATGTTATCAATCTCCCTAAATACATGATGTCAGGTGCATAAGCATTTTCTAATCACTCTGTTTCCTCCTTTTTCTGGTTAAGTATGATGGAGTACATTGTCTGGTGACCTTGGAGTTCCGGGAATAGATTGGAAATTTGATGTATTAATTGATAAATCTCCAGAGAGGAACGCTTGGTGGGCTGGTTTACAATCTTACCATCAATATTTTTTGGTGAGTTGAGGCTAGCACAACTGGTGGCGGACACACGTTTTGGTGATGATTTAAGATGATTCAGAAAGGATTCGCCACAGAGGAAGAAAATTGTTATATTTGATTTTGGAGACCATTACGGTGGTTGTGCACACAAAGAAAGAAGATTTATGAATTTTGGACTTTGCACATTGATTTGATTGTTATAATTTATTTAAGATATTTGGGTTTTATTATATTGCAATTATCACTTTATGATTATGTTAGATATGCACAATTGATACCATTTAAGGCACCTGCACTTTGTGTTATTTTTACATATTTTTGCAATTGTCACTTTATGTGTATATGTACTGTTGATTATATATGCAGATGCATTTTATTTTATTATATAATTTTTGCATAGAAAATGCCAATGCACCTGGCACTTTAGGTTTATAACACTCTAATACCAGATATGGTGAATCAGGGTAGATAGTAGAATAATAGTGTTTTCTCTGTGGAGGACAGAGTGATTAACAAATGCTTATGCACCTAACATCATGTATTTAGGGAGATTGATAACATCATATAGCGCTGTCTAGTTTTTTTTCACATGCCTATAGTTGACATATTATCAACCGGATAGCTGTTGTATTTTTGTGTATTTTATTGCTTGCATTGTTTTATATTGTTTTTTCCATGGCGCTCCTCTCGATAGATAAATTTGCCAATACTCAGCAATATGTTTACATTTCGTTTTCTAAATCATTTCAATTCGATTCAAATTCAGATGTTTCATTATTTTGGATCGTTTCAATTCATTACTGTTGTAATGTGGAAATTCGGATACAGCCAAATCTCCGAATAACGAAAATTTAATCCGAACTTTGATTCGGAACAAAAAAAACCCACACGTCTAATTCTAGCATTACAGCTGAGATCAGGGGTGGACTGACAAATCATGGGGCCCCAGGCAATAGGGGATCATGGGGCCCCTGTGTCCTTGCCCAAACTTAAAAAAGCCTATGAAAAAGGTACCAGGGGCATCTCATGGGGCCCCCTACTGACCCCGGCCCTCGGGCAGTGCCCGAGTTTCCAAATAGTCAGTCCGCCCCTGGCTGAGATACTTCCATAGTCCTGGAGTGGCTCTACGACAAGGGTGTCAGACTCCATTTCATCGCGAGCCGTGTCAGCATTATGGTTGTATCTGTAAGACTACATGTCCAGAGCACCCTACCCCCCATTACATCAGATGTCAAGAATCCCACACTCTCCCTAACATCACTGTGCACCCCCTTTGGGGGCAGAGCTGGAACGCAGAAAGTGTAGGGTCTGGAGGAGGACCAGTTGAGGAGTGGAGACAGTTACCAGAGTCTGCTGAATGCTGAGACCAGGGGAGGCAGAGATGAGGGGGTGCTGCAGCTGCACTGAGAGGTGCAGGATTTAGCAGAGGAGTTCTATTCTCTCTGCTGAGATAAAGTGGAGGCGGAGACAAGGGGGTACTTGCAGGAAAGGTGCAAGCAGTGACGTATTTACCACAAGGCAAACAAGGCATTTTCCTAGGGCGGCAATTTTCAGGGGGGTGCTACCCTCGGAAGAAGAGACACACGTGGCAGGGATGGAGACCTGGTGAGGCTCCACCATGGAATTCAAGGAGGCTGCACGCTGCTGGAGGGTGTAAGCTTCCCACGCAAGGAAGGAAGACACTGGGCTTGGCTATGGGGATGGCTGGCTGCTTTCCAGAGAGATTAAGGCTAGTGTTTGACTAACTCTCTCTCTCTCTCTGTGGGTGGGAAGTGTTTGGCAGACAGTGGCAGCGGTGACCCTGGAGGGTTGTGGGGTTGGCGGAGAGTGGCAGGGGCTGGGGGGGTCATGGTGCTGGTGGTTCTGGGGGGCTCCCAATGTTAGTGGCGGATGGTGTCAGTGGGGTGGTGGTGGAGGGGGGTGCCCGATTTTAGTGTTGCCTAGGGCAGCACAAGAGCTAAATACACCACTGGGTGCAAGGGCCACATGAAATGGCCTGGAGGGCCGGATTCGGCCCGCAGGCCTTGTGTTTGACACCTGTGTTCTACGACATCAATCGACAGTGGATTTTGTTTTGAATCGACAGAACCTCCAAGGTCAAACTTCTCCCAATCATTTACCATCATTACCTTTTCACAGTCCTGACTTTTGTTAAGAGTGCCTTCCTTGGTACAGTGGCAAGGCTGGCAAACGTCAGTGGCAGCCAGGCCGACACCAAATTGAACACCTGAAACCCACAAGAGAATTATGAACAAAAAGCTTTGGCCATACTTCTCTTTTAAACTTAAATTTGTTGATCACGATAATGTACCATGAGCTGTAGGTATAATCATTTATAGAAGGGGTTTCCGGAGACCTGGAGACTATTTCAAGGGTTTCTTTGAGGTAAATACATTGAGAAATGCTGCTCTAACCAATGAAAGGTATCATCAGTAAGTATGATACTAACTCTAAGGCTACGTTCACACTAGCCTTGTGTGCAGGCGGCAGAGAGGCGTTTGGGAAGCGTTTTTACCGCTTCCCAAACGCCTCTGCCAATTCTGCACATTACAGCACATGGTGCTGTTCTAACGGGAGCGTTTGCGTCGCGTCGCGTTGCGGCAAAACGGACGCCTCCGGACGAGTCAGGAGGCTTTGAAGCCTCCTATTCTCGTCTATGGTGCTGCTCCGCAAACGCCCGGCCGGCGTTTGCGGTGCGGTTGCGACGCGGTTGCGGGGCATTTGTGGAGCGGTAACACCACTCAAATGCATTATAGGCGTTTGTGGGGCGTTATTAACGCTCGGCAAACGCCTAGCAACCGCCGCTAAACCGCGCATGCAGCGTTTGCGGAGCGTTTGCCGAGCGTTAAAAACGCTCCACAAACACCGGACCAACGCTTGCCAAACGCTATAGGGGCGTTTGGCAAGCGTTGGCAAAACAGCCTAGTGTGAACGAGCCCTTATAGTAACCCTGCAGCTATGTAACAAAATTTGAACTAGAGTTGGTCATAGAGATCAGTGGGAAGAACCACAATGCCCAGTGCAAACATGCTATGACACACCTGAAAGTCCCTGAAGATCTTCACGAGATGAAAGACTTAAGTCACTGCTCACCAGAAAAAAAGTAGAGTTTCTTATTTCAAAGGCAGTCTCCTGTTAAAATTTTGTCACATAATGAAATGCCCGCTGGAGTTTTGAAACGACAGAACCTCCAAGGTCAAACTTCTCCCAATCATTTGCCATCATTACCTTTTCACAGTCCTGACTTTTGTTAAGAGTGCCTTCCTTGTTACAGTCGCAAAGCTGGCAAACGTCAGTGGCAGCCAGGTCGGCATCAAATTGCCGGAAAAAAGTCATCCTTGCAGACTTCGCAGTTTCTTCCTGCAAAAGACAGGGTCACAAGCTTAATCTCCAAATTTATGAAAATGATCTGCGCGACTCAGATTTAAAGTCTTTGCTCCTGGGGGGAGAATTCTGATTTTTACAATGTCCGTTTTAATGCACCTTTCAGCTCTACCTGCCAATGTAGTGATCCACAGCATATGAAACTATGAACCTGTTTCAAACAATGTTTTACCTCATTTAACTTCCATCTGCTCTATAATCCAAAGTTGTATCTCTATAAATACATGCAGCATAGGGCCAATCTCAAAATCCAAAACTTTTCAGTTGAAACAGATTTGTGCTGTTTGTTTTTCTTGGCTGAAATAATCAAAAATAGGCTGAAAGTTATTATGGCTTAAAGCAAACCTGTGATTTGTCCTTCTAGGACAGGAGGTCTCCAAATTTACTAAACAAAGGGCCAGTTTACTGTCATTCAGACTCCAGGGGGTACTGTGCCCAGTGGCAGTAAACAATGCCCCATCTCTGGTATTAGAAGGAGGAATAGTGCCCCCTCATTGGTGTCAGTGGGAAGAATAGTGCCCTATTGTTGGTGTCAGTGGCAGGAATAACACCTCAAGGGCTGAATGAAGGCAAGCAAAAGGCAGCATATGGCCCCCAGGCTGCAGTTTGGAGACTACTGTTTTAAGGCAAAGCATTGGGTTTGCTTTAGTTCCTACCCAGTTGGCCCAGTGGTATAACTATACCAATAGCAGCCTATCTAGTTGCTATGGGGCCTGGGGGTTGGGGGAGGGCCCCATTGGAAACGGTGATGTGGTGAATTGAACTGTGAAGTCCCCAGTCTAGAAGAGCTGATGTGAGACATGCAGGAGGAGTCATCTGTATCGCAAGACACTTATCCACCATGCTTTACATGTGCAGTAACAGCATTGGCTGTAAATCAAAGCATGCCTCCTCAGCTAAAACCTGATAAGGCAGCTAAGGTTTAAAGTTCTGAAACAAAAAGCCAGAGTTTAACCCCTTTGCGCTGGCACCTCCCAGCCCTTTAAGAGTTTCAGAAGCAGGGAGGGGCGGGAGGGGTTTTTAGGATCATGTGACTGCTGTGATTCGCCATCACAGCGGTCACATGATCGGACAAGGTCCCGATCGCAAGGGGAGATCGGGACCTTTCCATGAGTAATGGACATATGTGCTGGGAGCGTGCAGGGTGCGCACTCTCAGCACATATGTATTTTCTAATGGCACCCAAATATGCGGCCACTCGGTGTCAAGGCCCAGACGCCGGGGAGGCCGCATATTTGCATGCACTCGGCATCTAGGTGTTAAAGAAGTTTCATCAGAGCTAAAGAGTATGGATATTTTCAGTGTTTGGTCTGAACACAAGTTAGGATCGAACACAGGCTGTTTGCACAATCATCCGAAAGCTGAACATTTAGGTAATTTGCTGTGGTCTAACTTGACAGCTTCTGGCTGTTAATGGTTGCTAAGGAAACAGAGGATGCTTGCACCCACCTAATTCTTACCAACCACTGACGTCACCCAGTCTATCCACTTACATGGCCATGAATCCCCATCAACATGAGAAAATTGAGTGGGCATCGGAGGGATTACATAATTGCCTAAATATAGCCACCTGATCGTATTTGAATAATAAGAAAGGGTGAGGTATCTGTGGGGCCCCTCCCCCACCCGCATGCCCCCACAACCACCATCCAGGGTTGTGAGGAAGAGGACCTTGTCCTCATCAACATGGGGAAGGGGTGGCAACCCCCCATGTTGAGGGCACCTGGCCTGGTATGGTTCAGGAGGGAGGGAGTCTGCTTAGCCGGGCTTCATGCTTGGATTAAGGTTCTGTTATGGATTCCCTGGGGGACGTCACAGATTTTATTTATTTATTTTTTATATTTGTCTCATCATGCGGTACCCCCCTTGAATCCACTCCAAACTCAACAAGTATGTACATTAGGGGGTCTCTAGGCAATGTTTTTTTCTTTCTTGCTGTAAGATATGGTACAGCAAACATGACATTTACAAAAAACAGTACACAGACCCTTCCATAGGTCCTTCAACATACATAAAAGACTCTTGGAGGGGTCTCCTTTTTCTCTTGACACCCTCTTGCCTATTAGCCCAGAAAATTGCCCTTTTTAATTCAGCTCCCATTGATTGGGGTTAGGCTTCAACATCCAAACTTCTTTGAAGTTGGCCAAACCCTACTCAAACCAAACCCAGGGAACTATGACTCATCCCTATTTTAGAGAAATTGTGTGCAAGATCATTACCAATCATATAATCATAGAAAATATTCTGATCAGATTATTATTATTAATTCTACTACAACATTTAGGTTGCAGCAGCTGCATGCACAAGGTATGTTGGGGTACTTTCAAAATCATTAGCACCACATCAATATTTTTAAACCACAGTGTGTTTTACTACAGTCCATAGGTGTGAAGTTAGCCTAAATTTGAATTTCCTTCACTGCTGCTTTCCCTGACAGTTTATATCCCCAAAAATGATCCCTAGTAGTACAGTTGTGGCCAAAATTATTCAACCCCCACTGAAATTGAGTGTTTTGGCCAGTTTGACTTGCTTTTGATCATTCAGTCATCTTGCTTACATTTACATTAAAGAGGCACTTGTAGGTCAGACAAATATAACATAACAGTTATAATGAAATAACCACAAATGTCTTTTCTGTGCTCACAGCATTATCAGTTTTATTCAACCCCCAAGTGACATTCAATCTTAGTACTTAGTACAGCATCCTTTTACAGTTAT